GGCGGTTGGAAGAAGTTACAACTGGCAATCAAATATGAAGGCACGATCTTATAACTACATTTGGGCGGTTGACATGGGTTTTTAATAGGTCTTTTCACGACCTAAAACCGGCATCTTCAATCGACATCAAATTCAATGAATTTATTTTGGGGATCATCCTTTTACTTTTACTCTGTAGTATTTTCTTTTCATTTTTTGTATCGTATGGGGTCTAGGGAATCTTAATCTCAGGCATTTATTTAATCAAATTCGAAGATAATTTCTATTTTCGGATTTTACTTTTTATTGTTGAAAATCTGCATCAACAATTTGGCGACCACAGTGGGAGAAAGGCAAGATTGCTGATCCTACGTCAAGAGAGAACTTTATACGACTGAGGTCCGGCTGAATCATCGGAAGGATCCATATGGCAGGCTCACGGCCCCAAGTATCTTCAAATCCAGTGGGAGAAACAATCTCACCACCCGCCATGCCGAATGCAGGGGAACCACCACAAGCACCTGCTGATTGGGTGTCTTATGTTCAACATTTGAACAATCAGCAAACTTTGTCTATGTAGAACATGTTGCGTGAGCAACAAAATCTCATGCAGAACATGCTACATCAGGCTCTATCAAGGGTTACTCTTCAACCCACTCAGTCACCTTCAGGGATGTCACAATCCAGGTTACAAGCAAATTTTGCAGGGCCTTCTTATGTAGACAGCACCCTTCCAAGTATCGCTACTAGGGTTGATAGAGGAAAGACTCCTCTAACATACCCAAATAATATCCCATTGGGTGTCAGAGCCGAGCCAACCTTCCCCAGAGAAGAGAAAATGGGGGCACAGACTCACAATCTCATTCCTGTCTTTGACCCTATTCCACCCAGAGTGGATCCGGAGGACATCGCTCAAGTTATGCGAATGCATTTCAGAATGAATCCTCAAATGGTGAATAGGCCAGCTTATCAGAGGTCTTTTCCAGAAAGAATCATCAATGAGCATCCCCTCCCGATGAATTATAGGCCACCTGATTTCTACTCCTTCTCGGGAGAAGATGGAGCTTCGACCATTGAGCATGTGGGACGTTTCACGGCTCAACTAGGTGAAGTGGGCAATAATCCTTTTCAGAAATTACAGTTGTTCAGGTTGTCTCTCAGAAGAACAACTTTTTCCTGGTTTGCCAATCTTCCGCCAGGACAGTTGCAGACCTGGGAAGGCTTGGAAGCGGCTTTTCATGCAAGGTTCTTTAATCGTCTTCCGACTATCTCACTTACCGACCTTTTGGAAATTAGGCAGATGCCGAAGGAGACCGCCTACCAGTTCATAGAGCGGATACGACTGATGAAAGGGCATTGCCCAACAGTCATTGAGAAAAGCGAAATGACCAATTTGGTGGTCAGGAATATGCATACGCGGCTGCGAAAGGCTTTGACAGCCCATGATGTCGGAGATTTGGCAAGTTTAGCATCCAAAGCAGAGAGACTAGAGTCCCTCTTTAGAGAGAAGGACTACAACTTCCGGCGGAACAAGGTCCGGCAGATAGCCAGCGTTGATACAGAGATGTATACACCTAATGATGAACAAGGGAAAGGTGTTGAAGAAATGGCAGCAGAGATTGTAAATGGCAAGCCTTATGTATGTTCCAAACTGAAACCCCTCCCAGGGGCGGAAGAGCAGGAGCAACCAACGTTTGATGCATCCAAAGCAGACGAGATCTTCGATATTCTGCTAGCGGATGGTCAAATTCGCATTCCTAAGGGACAATGTTTGGCGACAAAGGAAGAAATAAAGGGAAGGCCGTACTGCAAGTGACATAACTCCTTTACGCATTACACTAACTAGTGTACGCATTTCCGAAAGGAAATTCAGAGGGCTATCAAAGCTGGAAGGTTCAAATACGTGACAATGGGAGTAGAACAGCAGCCCTTCCCGAAAGTAACTACTGCAGTCATCTTTGTGCGTTCCTCACAAGACACACAAAGAGATGATGAAAGAAACGGCAAGCCGAATGAGCGTAAGCCAAAGGAGTGAGAGCTTGATCAGGAGGACAAGTTCAAGATCTGCGAAATCAGGGTGGCAGAGAAATGGGACAAAACGGATGGTTCCTTCGAAGTGGAATTGAAGTACAAAGTGGTGGTGCGAGATCGGCCGACGCGTAAGCCACAACTAGTCCATGACAAATGGAGTCGGAACAGAAAGCCGTTACCTGTAGATATAGATCCCTGATTTCCAGGTATGAATCGTACGCAAATCCGTAATGCTAAACGCAGGTATATAGCTCGGCACGGGAGGCGAGCAGACAAAGGGGAGAAGAATGAGGCGTCACCCAAAAGGAAAAACTCAAGCGACCAACTACAGGAGCGCTGGGAGATCGAAAGGCCTATCAAGAAGGCCGGGTGTTTCCGATGTCAATTCTGCAGACGGATCAACATTGATCCCGAGATAGAAACAACCGAAGAAGAGGTGCGTGAGATAGTCTTTGGGTTGTTTGCTCCAGACGAGACGAAGGCTTTACGTAGCGAGATAGTAAAGACCGACAAAACTGGGTTCGAAGTCAGGATGACTGGTATGCGGTGGTTCGAGGAAGAAGATGAGCCTATCTGGGCAAGGCTGGAGGAAGAGGAACCAGAGTGGGCGGCAATGGCTGGTAGTCCCGGACATACACATGGCAGTCCCCCATCTATGGTTTTCCCACCTATACCAGAAGGAGCAATCCCACACTTGAAACCATTATATGTCAACGCTCATATTTGTAGTAAGCCGATTAACAAGGTTTTCATTGATAATGGAGTTGTCTTCAACTTTATGCCTCTCAAGACTTTGAAGAAATTGGGAAAATGAATTGGTGATTTGTCTCAAGTAGATATCGAGATGACAAGCTTCACGGGGCAACCAACGAAACTAGAGGGGATGATGGTAGCCCCTATTGAAGTCGGACTGAATGTGATTTAAACGGTGTTCTTTGTGGTAGATGCCAACACCGCTTACTCGGTCCTGTTAGGGCGAGATTGGATTCACGCCTCCAAATGCGTGCCCTCTTCTCTCCATCAGCAGATCATGTTTTGGGAAGGATATCAAGTGTTCAGAATGGATGCCAATACTAATCTGTTCAGCTCCACAGAAGTTGTGGAAAATTCCGTACTTTATTCTGAGTATGTACCTCCGATCTCACAAACAGCTGTGGCAGATGAGTTTCCCTGAAGAGTTGTAAGCTCACTGCGCAGGGGTATGTGTTTCATTAGAAATATTTGTCTTTCTTATGGCTCTGTTGTTAGCCAAAAAACATTAAATTTATTAAGGTTTAATTATGGAAGAGATAGGTGATTGCAACTTGTTAATTAGACAGTTTTATTTAAACCAATTAATGGTTAGACTACATAGTGATGAAGGTTCCAACAATAAAGTTGATGAGGGAGAAGGTTTTCGCTGGCCTGACCTACTGAAAAAAATAGAACCTTCCTTGTCAACTCAGGATCCACTCATTTAATACAATGTAGGAACCGAACAGGTACCAAAGATGGTCTGGGTTAGTGGTTTATTGTCTAAAAACCAGCATGAGCAAATGGTAACGGTAATTCGGGACCATATGGAGTGTTTGGCATGGGATTATTCCTAAATGCCCGGATCAGCACGAGATTTAATAGAACATAGGTTGCCTATTAAGAATGGATTCAAGCCATATAAGCAACCACCAAGAAAGGTTAGTCCAGAACTGCTTCCACAGATCAAAGAAGAAATTGAGAAATTGTTGAAAGTAGGATTTATTCGACCTTGTCGATTTGCAGAATGGTTAGCTAACATTGTCCCGGTAACCAAGAAGAATGGAAAGATTTGGATCTGCATTGATTTCAAAGATCTCAATCTAGCTACTCCAAAAGATGAGTATGTAATGCCCATAGCTGACATGTTGATCAATTCGGCAGCAGAACACCAAATTCTAAGCCTGATGGACGGTTATGCGGGGTATAATAAGATCTCATTGGCAGAAGAAGATATACCAAAAACCACATTCAGGTGCCCAGAAGCCTTGGGGATCTACAAATGGACAGTTATGCCGTTCGGTCTAAAGAATGCTGGAGCAACCTATCAGCGGGCAATGAATACTATCTTTCACGATTTGATTGGGCAATCCATGGAGGTATATATTGACGATGTGATTATTAAGTCTACTGAATTTGATACACATTTGGTCAACTTGAGATTTCTTGGGTTTTTTAGTGCATGAAAATGGAATAGAGGTTGATGAAAACAAAACTAAAGTTTTTTTGATGATGCGACCCCCTCGGACGATCAAAGAGGTTTAAATTTTGTTGGGTAAAGTGAATTACCTGAGAAGGTTCATATCCAATGCCGCAGGAAAATTAAAACCCATCACAAAGTTGTTAAAGAATAAAGCAACTGATTTCTCTTGGGGTCCGGAGCAGCAAGAGGCATTAGAAGAAATTAAGCAGGTATTAACAAAATCGCCCGTGTTGGTTCCTCCAAGGGGAGACCGACCTCTTAAACTATATGTGGCAAACAGTTTCGATGTGGTGAGTAACCTGCTAGCACAAGAATGGGAAGACGGGAAAGAAAGGGCTATTTACTACTTAAGCAAAACTTTGGCAGGGCCGGAGCTGAATTATACCATGCCCGAAAAAATGTGTTATTCTCTAGTCTTCGTATGTACTTAATTGGAGCACTATATGCTGCCAAGAGAAACCGAAGTGGTTTCCAAAGTGGATCTGATCAGATTAATTCTGCATAGACCAACCATGCAGGGAAGGTTATGAAATGGGCGATCAGATTGGCTCCCTCTTCGTTGCGACATCGACCTATTAAGGCAGTAAAAGGGCAGGTAGTGGCCGATTTATTGGCTGAATTTTCGAACAGCGAACCAACGGAAAACAGAATGGTACCCTATATAGGTACTAGTTCCTAGAAAATGTTTATTGATGGTTCTCGTTCAAAATGGAGGTAAGGAGCAGGAGTTATATCGGAAGGACCGGGAGCCCGGAAGATCAGTCTGCAACTTCAAATGGAAGAGATGACTCATAACTCTACAGAATATGAAGCATTGATCTTAGGTCTGAAGGCACTCTTAGCTAAAGGGGCACAGACGGTCATGATTTGCGGAGATTCTCAATTGGTCATCAATCGAGTGTTTAGACGGTACGCTTGTAATTATCCTTATTTACGTCAATATAGAGATTTGGTATATCGCCTGTTAGATAAAATTGCGGAGGTGGTTATTAAGCATGTACTGAGAACAGAGAATCGACAAGCCGATAATTTGGCTCAAAATGCGTATCAACAAATAATTGTTGGTAACGTTGATACGATAACCGATTGGAGGACAGAAATTATGGTTTATCTAGAATCACCAAATTCTGCGACTCCTATGGGTATTCGATTGAAAGCATTACGCTTTCAACTTATAGAAGGGGTTCTGTACAAAAGAACCTTCGAAGGGGTGTTATTAAGATGTTTGGGACCAGAAGAATCCATCAAAGTGATGGAAGAAGTTCATGGTGGAATTTGTGGAGCACACCGAGTAGGATTGAACATGCGATGGGCTATTCATCGTTTGGGGTTTTATTGATCAAAAATATTTGATGATTGTATCAAATTTGCTAAAGGGTGTCAGGAGTGCCAGAGACATGGCCCGTTAAACCATCTACCAGCAGTGGAACTCCAGAAGATGATTAAACCGTGGCCATTCAAAGCCTGGGCGTTGGATGTAATAGGGAAAAACCATCCGGCGTCATCAAAGCAACATTCTTTCATCTTGGTAGCTACTGACTATTTCACCAAATGGGTAGAGGCAGTCCCTTTGAGGAATGCGATGCAAAAAGAAGTGAACGAGTTTGTGCTTAGTCACATTATGTATCGGTTTGGAATCCCTCACACTCTTACGACAGATCAGGGTTTGATGTTTACAGGGGAAAAATTTATCGAGTTTTTGGCCGAGTTCAACATCAAACTGCATCATTCTTCGCCTTATTACCCACAGGCTAATGGATTGGTTGAAGCGGCAAATGAAATTGTCATCGGCATCATCGGGAAATGGTGGAGGGAAATCCAAGGAAATGGCATACCTTGCTGCCTCAGACATTATGGCCCACCGAAATAGTAGGAAAACCTCTACTGGATTTTCCCCCTACCAATTGACGTTAGGGCAAGATGTTGTACTTCCTGCCGAATTTGTTGTATCTTCACCTAGAGTAATTAGTACAACGGTGAATAATGATGAAGCGTATGTGCAAGGGATGCAGCGACAATTGGAGGAAGTAGACACTGATCGATTGAATACTCTGGATCGAATGGCCAAACAAAATGAGATAAGAGCTAAATATTATGGAAAAAGAGTATCTCCTAAGAGTTTTACAGAAGGAGATTTGGTGTGGAAAACGATTCTGCCTACATATAAGAAAATATATCAGTTAGGGAAGTGGTCTCCCAGTTGGGAAGGTCCTTTCATCAGTCACAGAGAAATTGGAAATGGAGCTTTTATTATTTTGAATCAAGAAGGAAAATTGATACATGAGAATATTAATGCTAAGTATCTGAAAATGTACTTTTCTGCATTTTCAGAACATTGTCATTGATTCTTATTACAAGAGACCCAAGAACCCTTCAAAGGTTTGAACCCACAGAAGGGGGTTTTATTAATCATCTGAAAGGGTGACACAAACATGATCATCCTCTGGTTCAGAGACTTCATCCCAGTTAGCAGAAACCATCTCAGGTTCTTCGTCCAGAAGATCTTCTAAATCCGGACAATAGCGATCCCATTGATCTTGCAATTTTTTAAGGTCTTGTTCGGTGCGAACTTTCATATCTTGTAAAGAATGACATTCTCGTTCAGCAAGTACACGCAGCCTGGAAAGTGTTGATCTTTGCTGGCAGAAGATGTTATTCCAGCTAAGGTCAGGAAGAATGGCCGTAACATGATGGTTTATCGTATCCATATGATGATCCAGGTTAGATATGCGGGTAAGAATATCAGTAAGGGGTTCATAGCTGGTAGATACACTTCCATCAGGCGAATCGTACGATGTATAATCTTCCTACCTCTGCCAGAGAACTTAAATTTAAAGTGAAGTTGTTTGAGCACCTGTATCAGGTCCTCAGCATATTGGCCTATGGGGTGTTTTCCCACAAGGAATGGTTGCAAAGAACCTTCCCAATTGGTGGCAGGGACACGAATGCGGGGAGAAACCATTTGGATGTAAATGCCAGTTTGTGTTGGTGACATTCGTGGTGGAGGAGTATATGTTATATATATGTTGCAGTGTTTAGTTTTTAACTTAGCTGAGATGCAAAAAATATGGATCTATGTTCTGAAAAGTAGGATATATATAGACCAAGTCTGGGAGTTTTATATACATGTCACAACAGAGTTAGGGAGAAAGAAGGGCCCGAAGGGCAGCTCGGAGGTCGGCCCACTTTAGTTCCGACCGGGTTGCCCGACGGCGCTGGTAGGCCTCATGGTGTCCTCTAACAAGTCTCATTTGTATGCTCGATTGGAGTTGATCGTGGAGACTCGTTTGTGTTTGGCGATGTTCCTCCACCAGGCGACCCCCTTCCTGGATCCTGTCATCCAGGGCATCCAACTGTTGTTGAAGGCGTCTGAGCTCTTCCGTCTTTTGGGAGATCTCAGCCGCCAGCATTTGTCGCGCTTGTTGGAGTTCATCTAGCGTAGCCTTGGCAAGATCAAGGTCTTCGCTGACCTTCTTCAAGGATACTTCAAGGCTATCCGGATCAGCGGTCGGTTGAAATGACGTGGCCTCGGATGACGGATGTCAGATCAGAGGCAGTTCGGCCTGAAGTTCTGTGATCCTTTCCATCATCTGATCTAGGATGGGAGGAACTTCCGACTCCAGTGGGTGCTGCACTAACAAGTCTATCGCAACCTGAACCAAAGCCTCAAGGTCGGCCGGACTCAGCTTGGCGAAAGGCAAGTCAGCACAGCGTGCTACGATTGATCGGGTGGGAGTCGGGAGAGTAACTCGGGCCAGTATACTCATCTCTTGGGCAGCCTGAAATGAAAAAGTATTAGAGTATAGAGGAACAGAAATGAACTCATCGAAAATAGATACAAGGTTGAAATCTACCTTATTAAAAATGGCCGTTGCCTCGGAAAGAGCCATGACCCGGAACGCCAAAGGAGTACCCTGGCGGGTTGTCGGGCCGATGGCCGACTCGTCTGCTGGTTGCAGATGATGGGCAGCGACCAACTCCATATCCTGAAAGGAAATGTTAGTTAAGGACAGGAAACAAAAAAATCAGAGAGTCAAAGATAATGGAATATTAACCGAGCCCCTTGGGATAAAATTTACTGAAACTTCGCCCGACTTCAAGGAAGAGATCTTTTCGATGTCATGGGGCGGTGGGATTGGTTGGACTGGTTGGGGTGCCGCAGGAGGTTCCTCGCCCACGGGTTGGGCGGCTGGCTGCAAAGGCAGTGCAGCTACTTGGTCGGGCGGTGCTGCCACTGGGTCGGGCAACACGACAATTTGGTCGGGCACCGCCGCAACCATTTCAGGTTCCTAGTTGAAAGTAATGATACATGAGTTAGAGATTTATAAAAGGAATCACGTGGAAATACTTTGGCAGTTACCTGTGGTGGTGGGGGAACAGGTGAAGACGAAACTGGAGGAGAAGTTTGCCTTCCCGCCGGTTCCTCCGGCCGGCGGATCATCGGCAGTTCCCCCTCTGCAGCAAGGGGGGTCGGTTGAGGAGCAACCGACGAAGGATTCAAGTGGACCTACATAAAGAGAATTGAAATTAGTGATGAAGTTGAATAAGTTTTTCTTAGAGGTATTAGGAAATGCTTTACCTCAACCTGCAGAGGGGTCGGTTGTGTGGTGGTCGGTCGCCCAGCGGTCGGAAGGTTTTCTGGTGGACCGACCGGTTGAGTGGGCAATTGTTCGATGGGTGTGTCAGATGATGCAACGGTCGGTTGATTGGCAGTCGGGATTATGGTTGGTTGAGGAAAATCTGGAGTAATGGTTGGTTGAGGATCGATCGGGTTAATGGTCGGCTGGGTTGCGGTCCGCTGAGAAACAGTCGGGGCCGTGGTTGGCGGCAGCGGAGGGGTCTCTAAAATTAAAAATTTTAAAATGAAAAAGAACTTGAAGGAAGAGAACTTACCAAATTGATCCCTCAAGTATTTTGGCAGTCCGTTTGTGTCCACTGGCAGAGACGTTAGGTACTCCTCGATTGTCTGTCGATGGCAGGAGCGGTCTTTGGTTTCTTCTTTTTGGCTCCAGATCCACCTTCGGCAGGCGCCGGCCTCTTCCTTCTAGGAGCAGAGGCTAATCGAGGAGAAGCCAGCGCCAATGTTGGGGGCGGAATGAGTTTTCCAACCAACTGGTCAGTTAGAGGAGCAATAAGAGACCAAGTGGCTGACCACCAGGTCGGGAAGGCCTCAGCCGCCGAAGGTTTAAGGGGGAAAGGTAAGTAAGAGTTTGAGGTAATATAGTTTGTGAGTTGGGAAAGGTAAGGTGGTTTGAGCTCGAGGATCACCAGCCTTTCTGGGCTTTGAGGTATAAGGTGAGGTCGGGCCAGTGGTCCCGGTAGGCCCTGACAGCAACCAAACTGTCGGGCTAGAAACTGGGGTTGATAGTTAAAAGTATAAGAAGATCTATAATTTTTCTTGTCCGACCTCTTACTTGAAAATAGAGATCGGGGTTTCAAAGCAGAATCCTATGAGAAGGGGTAGGTCGGATGGGGAAGAGGATCGGGATAAGAGCGGGGATATGAAGTGTTGGGATAGAGCCAAAAAAGGTCGGTGGCATATTGGGCGTAAGTTTCATAAACATAATAACGGGAGTTGCTTCGGTCTTCGGTCAAAATTTGGGTGATGACAGGTTCGGATGGATGGAGATTAGAGGAACTAGGAGTTAATTGGGCTAAAGCAAAACCTATTGATCTCTGAAGGTTCGGGCTAATAGGAAGTTGGTCAAAAGATACGTTCGGGAAGTATAGGCGAAGCCACAGCTCCATGAATCAAAATGGTCCCGAAGCAACTGTGTTCGCCTTTTTGGTGTCGGTTAGACGGACGCTAACTCGGGATAAACCCTCAAAAAGGTTAGCTAAAAATAAGGTTCCTAGAGAGAAAACTGGCCACTGGCCAGATGAATGGCCAGATCGACCTGGGAAGAAAGAACAAGCTTGGAGGGAGAAAGAATTATATATCTATGAAGAAAGAAAAACTCAATCAAATATCTGACTTTGAATTTACATAGAAAAGTATAAGGGAAAGGAAGTGTACTTGCATAGCCAAAAAATGAGGAACGGTGTAATACCCCGTAAAAATACTCGCCGGAAGTTTGCCGGAACTTGCCGGAGTTCGACGCCTGAGTTGGACTATATTATTTTGGGGCTAATTTATTTAGGGATTTTGGTATAAGAAATAAAGGAATTTGTTTTAAATTATGAGTAACATTGAATTTAGGGTAAAATAAATAATAAACTAGATTTAGTTTATCCGTATCTCTTAATTTAGGTATCTTTATCCATAATTTGTTAAGATATATCATATCCAAATGTGGATTTGATAAGATATAGCATATCCATAGTTGGTTAAGATATAGCGCATCCAGGTTAGAGTGCCTATGTATATATATATATATAGAGGATGAGTCCAAGTCTTTTATATTGAAAAAAAACATAAAATAAAATAAAAATAAATAAAACAAGAAAAGCACAGAGGCAGCACAGAAGAACACGCGGCCAGCCCCCTCCCCTCTTCTTCCTTGGAGTTCTTTTTCTCCAAAACTCTTCCTTTTGGTCTCTTCTCTTAAGGTAAGTGGGATTAATCTTAGATAGATGATATGTTCTAATCCTAGACCCCTTCTATTGATATTTTTCAATTGTCAAACGGGTTTGCCCAAAAACGTTAGGTTTTGCCAATTTCTTCTAGAAAGTTGATTATAATGTCATCTAAGGCTTATGTGAAGATTATTATTGAATTTTAAATTGAAAATCGTAGAATTTATGGGATGGGTTTGAGACCCTAGTTTTGCCCTAACCTTGTTATGGTTTTTGAAAAAATATTTACGATTATATTTGAATATTATGAATTGTGAAATTAGATCATGCCTATTGTGATTGAAATATTTTTCGAATGTTTATTTGCCGAAATAAAGTGAGATCATAACGAACTTTTTGGGTCTAATATCCTACTTTTGCATGGTTAAATGTTGACAATTGGAATATTTTGAGTTTAAAATACTCTTTTTGAAATTTGCCTAAGAGCATGTTGAGTATTTGGTCAAATTGGTAATTGAAACTACCCGTTGAGTCCGATCAACTCGTCGATTGTTTGGATGATAAGGCATAGCCTTCCACCTCTGTGCCTTGCAAACACGTGAGGGTATACCAGTATTTTAGTATTACTAGCTAACCTTGAACTAGATCCCAAATGGGCTAGGTCGAGGGATCAAGATGGCGGGTTCCCTTTTTGGGTGATTCCGAGGTGCTCGTCATTCACGATGAAAAGGTCTTTAGACCGTCATCCGTGATGGAGGGTTGGATTGCGTCCAATCCCCTCTTGGTATGTTATATTGGAGACTAGAGGGTTGTGGGCCGTATGACGCCCCTCGAAAACTAATAATAAATTAATTTACGTGTACTTTGGGTTTCGAACCCTTATGTACACATTGTGGAGTTTCCTTTTAGGGTTGTGACCCTATGGTTGTTATGTGAAACTATGTGACGTGTCATACGAAGTAATAAGGTCGGAAAACCGGGTCGAGCTGGCCCTGATTAAGGCCTAGTGGAGTTTTCTTCGTGATGTGCTCATCACTATTATTTGAGAATGAAAATGAGATATAAGGGAGACGCTAAAAGACTCGTGTGTGTGAGTTCCCCTTATGTGATACGTGTCACCTTATTCAATTATCTTCTTCAAATGATTTTGTGGCATTATACCATATTAATTTATCTTTGATTAATTGCGCTTACTCAACCATTGTGTTGATCATTTTCTTACAACCTTTTTGTAGGTGATCATGTTTCTGTTATACCTAAATGATGCATCCACGTCATATGATCCATCGGGGGAACTATAACTACTGTATCTTCTAAAATATTTTTGAAATCCATTATTAATGTTTAAGAACTATTTCTAACTTATGATTTTGACTCGAACTTTATTTATTAAATGATAAGCCGGTGCGTTGTAAATTTTAAATCCCTATTTAGTTGTTCGTATTTATTGTTTTAGCCTTAGCGCCACAACGTAGGGCTCGTTGATTGATGAACGAGCCTTCTGGTGTGGCGTGGCGGTTACGCTCCGGTTTGAGCCGACCGGGATGTTACAAACGCTGTGTATTCCAACTCGGACACAGGGGCGCCTTCCTCGCCCAAAAATTTGGTGACAAAGCTGGTCCAGCTTCTCTCCTTCTCGGCAAGTTTGGCGATGGCCCAACTAGCGTGGTTGGGCGAGGGCTCCCGACCCTCAAAAAAGACCAGGACAGGATCGTTGCCCACTACAGGTAAGTGGGCGATGAGGGCCACGTCCATAAGGGTCGGGCCAATGGGACCAAAAGGGAGAAAGAAAACTCCCATCTGTGCGTGCCAGAAGGCTGCTATCGCCAACAGGGCCTTATCATGGATGTGAAGAGGCTGGGATAACAGCAGGATGGCCTTGTCGATGCCCTGCCTCCTCCATTGTTCTTGATAGTGGAGGCGCAGTTTCGCGTGCCACTTACGGTAGGCATCTTTAGGATCGATGAGGTGAGTCCTGATGCTGTCCAGAAGTCGTTCCGGCTTGAAAGCAGCATCATTTATGGACATCGGAGAAACTTGAGAGATGACAGATTTCATACGATCGGCATCTTCATTGGTTGTACAATAGGGGCGAACGGTGGGGGTGAGAACCCTTGAAGCTACAAAGGGGACCGATGGGTCAGTCCCGTCGAAGGGAAGAGCAGGGACGTATTGGTTGGCCATTTACGAAGGATATGCAGAAAATGAAAGAGAAGAGGTTTTGAAATATATTCGCTGGAGAGAAAATGAAGGATTTCAAAATTCTGAGTGCGTGAATATGGAAGGGTGAGAGAAGGGTTTTTACATAAACCCCACGATGTGACATAAAACAGTGTAATGATGGCACTGTGCTACAAACCCCTAAACGTCACGTCTCACACAGTCCGAGAAGTGAAGCTTATGAGTCGGGCGGGAGGAGGCAAGTTGTTGAGTAAGGAAAATCAATGTGTAGGGTTTTTTATAATAGGCTTATAAAATTAGACTATGGGTTTGGGTATAGGCCCAATGGACAAGGCGTTATTAAGAAAATGGGCTCTTTCGGGAGAACCTGTGCCTAGGTGATCGGTGGATATAAAAGGTCGGACAATGAGAGGTCAGATGAAGGAAAGGGAGACAATAGGCATTTAGGTCGGTTGGCATAGAGGTCGGGCAAAGGGAAGTCGGACGAAGAAAGATGAGGCGGCCGATGCAGAGGTCGGACAAATGGAAGATGGACAAAGGGAGAAGAAGCAGTGGACGTGCAGGTCGGATGAAAAGCAGTTCCAAGGCGGTTGGAAAAGGTTACAACTGGCAATCGGATATGAAGACACGATCTTATAACTACATTTGGGCGGTTGACATGGGTTTTTAATAGGTCTTTTCACGACCTAAAAGCGGCATCTTCAATCGACATCAAATTCAGTAAATTTCTTTTGGAGATCATTCTTTTACTTTTACTCTGTAGTATTTTCTTTTTATTTTTTGTATCGTACGGGGTCTAGAATTCTTAATCTCATACATTTATTTAATCAAATTCGAAGATAATTTCTATTTTCGAATTTTACTTTTTATTGTTAAAAATCTGCATCAACAACAATATTTTGTCATTTTAAAGTTTTACAATTTGTTTTGTCATCACCCCAAATAGATTGATTTGAATCGGTTATGATTTATTTCTTATTAAAATTTATTAATTTGTCTTTTATGAAAAGTGACCTATCTTACTTTAAAAAAATAAAAATTGACATGTTTTATTAACACAAAGGAAATGGAGTATTATTTTTTATTTGACTTTTTATTATATATTCTATATTATAATGTTGGTAACACTGGTCATGATTGTATTTAATTAATTAACAGATCGTTATCAAATTTTTAATTTTTTTTATTTCATTCGCATATTTTGGGTGATTTTAGACCTCAAATTTCTCTTTACAATGTTTTTTTTTTTTTTTTGGTATGCACATAATTTTTTATGTATCATATTAAAAAAATACTTTAAACCAAAATATCAAATAAAAAAATTAATATTTATTTTATAAATGAATTGCTTAAAACTTTAGGAGACAAGTAAAAAATAAAAGTTGAAATAATTATAGCCAGAAACAGTATAATATGTAAATATTATTACATATTTTTTCTTATGGTATTAATAATAAATTGCGTCAAAAAATTTGGTTGTTTCAATTAATAAAATTTGATTGATTTTAATTTAAAATTAGAATAGTAATTTATATATATTTTACTATTTTATTTATTTTTTTAAGTAACATTTTTATCAAAAGTATATTTAATAAATAAATAGTTCGTTTTCGTAAAGTCCCCAAATTTTAAATTGTTTTCTTTATTAATCTTTATCTACATCATTTTTCCTTCCACCTCTTTATTTATTTCATATAACTCTCTATATGTAACTATTACACCTTTTTACCTGTAAAATTTATATTTTACCTTCTAAATAATATTCTATTTATATTTTTACCCATTAAGTATAATAAAAAGTCTTTATGTAAATAATCTTTAATTCTATAATTTTTTTACAAAACAATATCATGAATTGAAATTTATTACTAAAAGTACTTTTAAAATAAAAATTCATACCTTTAGCTTATAGTATCTCCCTCCGTCCCAAAAGAGTTGTCTTATTTTTTTATTTTCGTTCGTCCCAAAATAATTATTTTTTTCCTTATATAGTAACTGTGGTTTCCACTTTATAACAAAATTATTCTTATTTTTCCAAACTACCCCTAATTATTACTCTAACCTACTTTTAAAAATCCTTCAAAAAAGTAAGGGTATGTTAGTATTTTAAATTCTACTTTATACCCACTTTCAATTAAATACTATTATTCTTTAATTTTCGTATCAATCTCCAATAAAACGTCTCCTTTGGGACGGAGGGTGTATATTTTTCTATAAAGGTAATAATATTTTTTTTTATAGAGTATTCAAAATATTTGTTCATTATATTACTAATACTATATTTAATTGAGATCCATATTTTTCATAAATATTTTATATTATGATATAAGAGCTATGTGTATTTTTCTATTATTTATTTATTTGTTTGTTTGTATTATTTTTTGCATACGAAATTAATATTTCTACTGAATAATATTTGTATGATTTATTACAACCTATTAATTAGTTTTTATAAGAGAAAAATATTTCTCAAATAAGAAAGAAAAATATATTTTAATATATTTTCAAATAAATTTATGTATTTTCTTTACTTACATACTTTTCTACAGAAAAAATAATATTTTTATAAAGTGATCGAAATGTTTGTTCATTATATTATTTATACCATTGTAACACTACATCATAGATATTCGAATTCTATTTGTACCTGTTACATGAAAAAGAAAAATTCAAATTTCATACTTTTGCACTTCACTTTAGATACTCCCATACAGAGAGAGCAACTAATATTTTTATAAAAAAAAAAAAAAAAAACTTATTGCCTTAATTATATTTTGATTAATTGGAATTATTATTTTTCTATAAGAATTTTATATTATGATTCAAGATATATTTTTATATTGCCATGATTATATATTTTTATTGTCAATAAATAATTCTCTCTCCGTCCCACATACATTATAGACACAGTATTTTAGAAGATGTGTAATTAACAGATAATTAAAAATATATTAGTGAAAATAATTATTCTATAATATAAATAATTATAAAGTTTAATTAAAATTAAAAAAATAAATTAAAAAATTTAAAATGAAATTAAAGTGTATAATTATTTTTAAAAAAATAAAAGTGACATGAAATGTGGGACGGACAGAAACGACAATATGGACATGGTACGTGAAACGAAGGTAGAATTATCTAGTTTGTTGCATTTTATGTGGCAATATGATTATATATTTTTATTGTCAATAATGATTTTTATTGTTGCAAGGAAGTGAAAAAAAAAAAAAATTGTAAAAATATGGATAAATAAGATAAAATTAATGTATAAGAGTAAAAAAAAATATTGAATAGGAAATTAAGAAATTATTTGGAAGTTTCCCTTTAATTAAAAAAAAAAAAAGGGGTTTAGTTTCATACACAAGCACAAAGTAATTAATTCAGAAATTTAAAAAATCCCGGGGAGGAGACTTTAGCAGGTCTACTGAACGACGCCGTATTTGCAATGACGGACTCTTCTTCTCCCCGTTGCACCTTCCGCCAAGCTTCGCTTCTCAACATCAGGATTTCCTATCCGGTCATCATTTCCGCGTAATTTTCATCGCTTTTTTAAGTTGTTTATGGTGGCGATGGCGACAGTCCCTCCCTCCATCGATAATCCTCGTTGGAACGTACGTTTATTGGAATAACGATTTTATTTTTAACGTGTTGTTGATTTGTACTACTACTACCACTTGGTATTCACACGGCTAGTTCAGTTTCTGTTTATTTTGTTTACTGCACGAATTATGTATGTATGTATGTGTCTCTGTGTGTGCGCGCCTAAATAAATCAATTCTCAGTTGATGTCACGAATTGATCGATGGAATAGAACCTCAATCCAACAGAAGCACACACTGGATTTGTGGATTAGTGCTTTAAAAATAATGAACGATGGTTGGGAGGGGAGGGTTGCGTCGTTACGTGTGTGTATCATATGATTGACTTCTATGAGTAGAATGTGTTTATTTCATTGTATTAATGAAGCTTCCTAGGTAGCTTCCTGTAAATTGTTTACTCTTTGCCTTCTTTATAAGCATTAGGGGACAGCAATTTATTTTGGCATTCTCTGTCTTGATAATAATTTTAGAGCAACTTCCCTCCCCGTCCCCAGTTTTAGTTTTTATTTTTCTTGCTTGGCACTTGATGACGCTGAAACGGCAGCTTAGAGAGGGGAGTGAAGACGGTTTTGAACTTCCAACTAAACATCGACATTTAGCATCAAGGTTGGTCGAATAGTTAATTTCTTGATGCATATAGTTTTATGGTTTTGATAGTTCTTGCCATAAAATAATAAGTTTTCCCAACTCATGCCGTTTGTGCAGTGTCTTCAAGGGGATGAATTATGGCCGTGGTACACAAGAGTCTGTGCATTACTTGGAGCCAATCATTAGAAAATGGGTATGATGTTTTGACTGAACATTTTCCTATGTTGAGTTGAAGTCATGAGAAACTTACTCAGTTGTATGTTATTGGTTACTTTTCTGCCTTGTGGATGTGGATTGTTAAGGTTTGGATGATTCAATGTAAAAGAATCAACTTCAAATTGTCTTATACAAAGTTTAGACACATGTTATTATTTGTCTGGATCATCAATTTCATGTTCATGATGAGTTACTGTGTATGATATAGACGTTGTTTCTATATAAACCTGGATGTCCAAGTCACTCATTATCCTATGATGTATGTTTTTACTAACTACCCCTTACCTAAGCCAAAAAAAATGGCTATATTTAGAAATGATTCATCTGTGCATCAAAAGTTTAGCTAATAGCCTGGCCATCTGCCTGTTTGATGAAATCTAGAATTTTTTATCTTTTTTTTTTGGTTTATTTCTTTTCATGGAATAAATGTTTCTTCCATATGTAAAGTTAGAGATCTTATCACACTCATTATTTATTATCGGTCCTTTGGCAGGTGAAAGAGGCTGTGGAGTGCGCATTTGACCCATTTACAAGGTGAATTTCTTGTTTCTAATTTCTATGCAATTGTTATATGATAGTTTTGTTCAGTAGCTCTGCTTCAAGCATTGGTCACGAAAAATGCCTAGAGTACTTCGTTTGTTAAGGAATTGTCCAGTTTCTGATGGACACTTATATGTGTAAATAGTTAAAACCAAAGCTGTTTGCTTCATGTTTCTTGTAGGTCGTCTTATGGTCAAATTGAGTGCTCGAGATCAAGAACTCTGCAGCTTCAGTTCGACAGTACATTGGCACCCACCCTGTTCACAGGCAGCAGGGTTTTATCCAGGGACAGATGTCCCATAAAAGTTGTCCTGTATGATTCTACTTCTAACAAAGTAGTATCGTCTGGTCCCCTATCTTCAATCAAAGTGTCTGTTGTTGTGATAGATGGTGATTTTGAAACTGATGATAGGGAGGACTGGACGGTAAATGAGTTTGAGAGAAAAATAGTTAAGAACAGAGATGGGAAAAGACCTCTGGTGACTGGAGAGTTGACAGTTGCCTTGCAGAACGGAGTTGGTCATATTGGCAACATAGTCTTTACTGATAACTCAAGCTGGATCCGAAGTGGAAAATTTAGGTTGGGAGTAAAAGTCACTAATTCTGATGAAACAGTAATTAGAGAAGCAAGGAGTAACGCTTTCAAAGTTAAGGATCACCGTGGAGAGTGTATGTGTTCCTTTGATGGATGGTTTTCATATCTTCCAGCTTTATGGTTAAATCATTTTCCGGGAAAGGCTAGTTTGTTTATAATTTATAATTGTTAACTGGGAAGTTTCACAATGTTAAACACTTATATTGCATGCATTGATTGCACAGATGGAAAAAGAATTTTGCACTGACAAGTTTCCTGTTGTTCAGCTTACCAGAAGCATTATCCTCCATTGTTGCATGATGAGGTGTGGAGATTGGAGAAGATAGCAAAAGAGGGTGCATCTCATAGAAAGCTAACCGAGAATGGGATAAAAAACGTTGGAGATTTCTTGCGTCGCTACATGACCCATAACTTGGCACTACGCTCTGTAAGAGACAATTTGATACAATTGGATGTGGAATTGCTATGATGAAAAACAATCATCATTTGGAAACCTTCTTAACGTATAAGTTCAAAATGCAGATACTTCATCATATCTCGAATAAGTCATGGGACTCAATTATCGCGCATGCTATGACATGTAAGTTAGAGGAGAAGATGTACTTGTTCAGGACCGCCCAAGGGTCTGGGCTGTTGTTCAACTCTATATATAAGGTTGTCAGTGTGACTTTTGATGGACAAATTTACCATTCCGTGGATAGACTCGACACATATCAGAAGGTAAGGTTGCTATCTTTACCTGGACTTCATGTATGGTTACCTGATGTTATGGAGTTATTTCAAATGGCACCAATGATTAATTTTTATGCTAGGACAGCCTCTTAAGTTGAAATCAAAATGTTTCAAGTTGCTGTTCTTACTTTACTTTTTTATGTTTTTCCCTTTGACAGAGGATCTTGGAAGATCTGAAGCAGTGTGCTTATCAAAACTTCCAGGATTGGGTGTTAGTTTGCGAACCTTCAATTGTTCCTGCTGCTGACACTTTCGCCAATTCTAACTTGCCTCTCCCAGGTGTCACTTTCCAGGAACAAGGTAACTATATACGGAACAATCATGATCTGGTTTTTTTCGTTGTTAAATCTCCCTTCCTTTAAAATAATTACCTACTACTCCACTGATCATCAATATGCGAAACTGCCTTCAATTTCTTGTAAATATTAGTTAATGAGACTCTTGAGGGAATGTTTACATCAAGCAGTTAATTATTATACTGCGAAGTAAACAGACACTACTAAATAAATACATTATATAGTCTATAAGCAGAGCAGAGCAGCATAAGTAGTTTCGTTCTTTCCTTCTTTGCATCTGGATTTTGGAAATTGCCTGAGTAACATTTGTTTGCAGATAAACACGGAATTAAAGAAACAAACACTAGTGATCATACACCTTCACCACCTACTTATAGAGCTGTAGAGGAGCAAGATTACTGTGGCTTCATGCTGGGAGGAAGTTCCAACACTGTCCATGGCTTTAATCCCACATTTAGGGACAGTTTTGGGATAATTGCTGCTTCTCCAGGGGGTTTCTTTATCGAAGGGAATGATAATAATAATAGTAATCAGTACTCATGGGGTCCCGAAGGAGGGAATGGCATGGGGCCACAGCTCTTGTCTGATGATCTACCAATAGAGGAGGAGGAGGATTCATTTCAGGTCAAGTCATTTTGGCAAGCTGGGAACGAAGTATTTATTGATCCCGGCAGCACATTTTGTTCTAACACTGGAATCCTTAACCCCAGCACTTGCAGGCCCAAAAGGAATTGGTGCAAGGTTCTTGCTGTGGTCAAGTGGCGGATACTGGCCAGGCGTAGAAAATGGCAATGCTACTACAACTGAACTAATCGCCAGAAAGTAAGGTCATTGTCAAATATCCAGTACAAGGCAGGGCAACACAGGGCAAGTTCTTTTTTACAACATCAAAAAAATCATGACAAATTAAATAGGTTAGGCATTGTAAATATTGTTGGTTTGTTGATTTTATTTATTTGCACGCCAAACTTCTGTTTAGGGTTTTTTTTTTTTTTTTTTTAATGACGTGCCGCAAACTTGGCTGGCAAGGTAAAATCAAGTGGCATTGAGGGCTTTTGAACCCATGGGCCAATTGTTTTTCTCTTTTTTTTTTTTTTTGATCGGAATGTGTAAGTTAGATTGATAGTTTTGGTTTGATGATCCGACACTGAGTGAAGATTCGGCTGTCCTTCCGGGAGGAATTAAGGCGACTCGATCGGCAGGCCGACAAACAAGTAGTTAGTTAGGTAGATGTCTTTGTTGTAAATTAAAGCATCCTTCCTGGTCGGTGTTTCAAAGAAAATAAAGTTTACTATTGGGCTTATGTTCTTTCATTTGTAATTTGTTCAAACCAAATCAATTGGTTTTGTGCGTATTATTATGCATGTTTATTGGAAATTATAGGGTGATAACGAAGAAATTGGATAGGAAGATGAGTGAGGAAGATTTCTTCCTCCAAAGCGAAGTACGGCCGGTAGAGTTCTGGTGTATCTGTGTTACTCCCAAAGCTAAAACGGTTCATATCTTCTCGAAGCAGCACTACTAATAAGAGATCTAGCGAACAAGAAAATAGTTGGATAATCGGCAAAGAGGAGAATGTTTGGATGATAGAGTGTAGGTGGGTCTAAGATTCAACGTTTATTTATAGGTCTCTATTCAACAAATTTCTTGGATTCTTTGTTGATATGATCGTATAAAAGGAAACAAGTATGTATACCAAGAATTATATTTTTGTAAGATATGATAACAACTTTTAACAAACTCATCCAATGTCTGATTAGAGTTCGCAACTCAATTCGATACATCATGTAATAATGTGACATGGATAATAATCACCTAATGCAAAGACCAATGGATACATGCTATCGCCCGGGTCCTTTCTGGTAGTTGTAAGCAATAAAACCTTGTAGATTCTCTTCAAAAATATAGCCATCCAACCTATAATTGGATTGTACCCATCCAAATAATATTTCTTTAAACTTTTCAAATATTAATGCATTATATATCTTCAAAACTTGTAGAGTGAAAGCTTGGTTAACATGCACCGTGCAATTGTTGCCTTTGTACTTATATACAGTTGCATAGTAGTTGGAAAACTGAGGGTACCGATCCTTTGTTTTTACTTTTATCAGCTTGAAGGCAAACAACTTCTTATCTCGATCGATACATTTATGCATGCTCAAAACTACATACAATCTTTTATTACTTTAATTTTAGAAGAACATGGGATTATTACTTTTCATGTCTTTTATTGTCCCAATATACTTAGAATCTTCCTGAGCATTATCAATTTGATAGGCATAGAAACCCCCCTTTAATATCTTGATTTGGAAAGTCGGACCATTCATGAAGCACGATTCATTAATTATTCCTTAGCTTATTGCACATGATTATTATATATTTTGTTCATTTTCCAAAAAATACGGATCCAATCTCTTGATTACTATATATCCACTTCCTTAGGACTTTCTTTATATTTCTATCAATTTATAAACTTTATACCAACCTTCAAATCCATAGGACCCATGTATATATGTCCTTGTCCTCGTCCTATTAATGATATCTAGGAGTGTCTTTATTGTCTAACACCATAAGAGTCCAAAACCCAACCTCATTGTCACTGTACTGATGTCATCCATGATCTTTTCTTCTACTACAACATGTAGCAAGCCTTCTAACGTAGACCTTTCTTGCTTGCATTGTCGCCATATATGACCATATTATTATCTTCTTCCATGAAACTCATTTCTAAATCCTTGAATACAATATCTTATGGGATTGGATCAATGATGGATCAAATGAGGCAATATATAGTGCTTTCATCGGAGTCAATGTCATCCCCGGCCCACTATATTTTTCTTATCAGTCCCGTCCCTGCTACCAAGTACATCGATCCTCAACCCTTTAATCCTCAATTCACTCGTAAGACATATCAGATCAATAGTATTTTCAAAGTCGTACCCAGTCTCATAGTTGCCCTCAATCACCTACCTTATCATTATAATACCAGGATGTCCAAGGTGATCATGTCATATTTAAAAATCGGTAGTCTTTTGATCTATTATGAGATGTGAGGGTAATCTCTCAATGATGCTTTTTATCAATAATATTGGTGATTAATAAAAAAATCACTATTAGTATCACTCATAGTCTCAATGTGATAATCATTTTTCTGAATATCATAAAAGCTTAGTAAATTTCTTCAAACTTTAGTGGTCAACAATACATACTGTATCACAATTTTTGTCCATGCGGGGAGAAATATAATGGCTTCTCAAGAGCTAGCAATTAATTTCTTACAGCCACTTAATGCATTGACTTTTATCTATTCCATTTTCAAATGAGAAAAATACATTTCGTGTTTCAAGATAGTATGTGTCGTAGTAGCATTGTCAATGAAACATATACTAGCACCATATTTATTGACATCCGTTTTTAAATATAAATAAACAAAGTGTTAATAAAAGAAAATATAAATATTACAAAATAAAATACAAAAATATATAGCCGATAATTTAATGATTACAACATATAAAAGAACATAATGTAAAATGACATAATATGTCTGTCACTGGGGATTTGTTGGATCTACGACAAAGTAAATTATGGTGCAAAACTCAAATATTCCAGAGATTTGATTTCTTGAATTTAAAATCTCCGGCAACGGAGCAAAATTATGATAAACTAGTTTAGCGATTCATGATTATCGTTAGCTTTTTGGAAAATAAGGATTTTTGGCGGTTTAAAATAATCTTGTATCTTGGCATTTTGTAAATGATCAGATATAGAAATTAATAATGTTGTTTTAGACCCTAAAATGCTATTTCACAATTGATTTATACTCTTTGACGGTTGAATTTTCAGATCGAACACAAGGATTTTAAGTTATAAAATTAAATCAAAAAATGTTTATTGAGTCTGGCTAATTCAGAAAAGCAGTAACTGGTTGGCTTGCTGGCGAGCGAGCCCGAAAATAGTAAATTGCGATAAAGTAAAGAAAACCGTAAAGAGTGAGCCGCAATGATGGTGAGCGGAGCGATGCTTTACGAGCGGCGAGGCAGTGAGAGGGATGGTGAACGGAGCGGCAGGAATGAAAGTGGGCGATATATATATATATATATATATGATGGTTAGTGAGCTATGAGTGATAGTGAGAGCAAGTAATTTGAGCGATAATAATAACAGCGACAAGAGTGATCAGAGATGTTTATGTGTGACCTGTGCGTAATTGAAATGGCTAGGTTCTCATGGCTAAAATGAGGGGTGATGAAAGTGAAGTAGCGAAACTTATATATATATGTATATAAAGCGAAATGGCAGAAGCAAGAAAAGTGATCATAATTGTTCATTTAAATCAGATTCTGGATTCGCTGGTACTTGTCCTTAAGGGATTTACAACAAGGTTTCAATGACACCCAGATTTAGAACATTATAAGCAAGAAAAGCTATTGTTACTAGATATTTCTGAGACCCGATAGACAAACGCCTATGTCTAATCAATTATTCTGAAAATCTGTTTCATTAGTGGTTTACCTTCTGACACCTCTCTTTAAAGAAAATTGAATTCAGAACATCAATTAAGCAGGTCGATAAGGCTCCCGCTTACTTAATTACGGAGAACTACCAAAACTCTATTAATAAATACGGTGCAAAATTAGGCTTTGATAATCAATTTTTCTGATGCATTTTCCACAACGAGTAAAACTCCAGATTTAAACAATCAAATTTAAACTCGAATTTGGGAATAAAGTTGAATATGGAGAAATATTGATAATGAATTACTTTTACAAAAGTGGTGAATCTACAGTAGGAAAATGGTAATAAAGCAAGTAAGAAATCTGTAAATCTGCCTAGAAAGCACTGAAAATTGGATGATCAGAAGGAGGAGAGAATCTCCACTCCACCGACCTCATTTTCTAACTAAGAGAACTTTGTTACAGGGTTGGAGCTCTCAAAAAATCGACAAAGTAAAAGCACAATATCAAAGTATGATCTATGATATTTTATGCAAGAAGTATGGCCTTATTCATAGGTTTCTAAATCGACAGTTGGCAACAATTGAACAGTTACAAAGCAGCAGTTAAAAATGGTTGAGAAACTGTTGTAACCGCTGGACAGTTAGGCAGTTAGTTAGTTAAGCGGTTAAAACTGCTACAACTCCCAGCTTGCTCGCTCGTCTGTAGGACTGCAATACTTGGGCACAGATCGTCCTTGCTTGCCTTGCTACACTTGGCTTGGCTTGAGGGTATCGGCACAACTCAAACGAGGCTATCATCACTAGCTGGTAACGGATGATTGACCGCTGGAGCTCCACACTTAATCAATTATGGGAACTTCTGGATCATCGCTCATCAATAGTGGGCATCCGGATGGTTGACTAACTCAAGTGTAAGCGGAAAGAATGTAACTCGCCACAGCTGGCAGCGCCCTCACTCGTCTCATCATACTTAGGCATTTATGAGCCAGATTCGTCGCTTAAAAGGCTAAACACATCAATAATCTTCACAAGTGAGCTTGGGATCATATCAAGCGAAATAGATCAACAAAATATGCCATAAATCAGATATTGTGATGGTTTTCATATAAAAATTCAAAAAATACACAGTTTTATCAAGCAATAAATATGCTATTATTTGGAGTTATCAGGCCTCAAACCTTCATTGTATATCATCCACTATTGTATATTCGTCTTGTTGAATAATAAAATAGTCATTCCATTATAATGAAATACCATCATTTGGTATCAGAGCTAAAAATACTTTTCGACGTGTTCAATGGCTTTCAATTCCCCTAGTACGTTGATTTCCTCCAACCACCTCATTCCAAAATTTGATGGAGAAGACTACGACTTCTGGTACATCGAAGTGAAGACCATTTTCTGATCACTTAATCTCTGGGAGATTGTAGATAAAAAGGTTTACGGAACTAGACGAGGAAGAAGAGCTCGACAAAAATGCTGCGAGGAAATTGGAGCAATTGAAACAAGCCAACACCAATGTTCTTTTGGTAATTCTATGAGCCTTCACTAAAAATATTTTTCCTAGAATCATGAGAGCTGAAACCGCTAAGGATGTTTGGGAAATTCTTTAGGATGAATTCCAAGGAGATGACAAAATCTGAACAATTAAGTTACAGAAGCTACGGAAAGAGTTCGAGAATATCATTATTAATGGCAATGAACGGTGAAAGATTTCTCAAAAAGGTTCATTTATCTCGTCAACCAAAATGAAGTCACATGGAGAAAAGATTTCTGATGAGAGGATAGTGGAAAAGATACTTATTTGTCTTCCCAAAGAGTTTGCTTTGATTGTGTCCATCATTAAGCAAATAAAGGATCTTTCGACACTCACCGTCCAAGAAGTATTGACATCTCTCAACACATTTGAAAAAGGATGTTCAAGACGGTTAGAAAAATCCATCAAAAGTGCTTTCCAGTCAAAGCTAAAGTTGGGAAACTGAGAAGAAATTACGAAGTTCGACTCCAACCAATATCAGGTTGGTGGAAATTTTCGAGGTTGAGGACAGGGCATTCGAGGAAGATGATGAACTCAAAATGCATTATTTTGCAATATTTGCAAACAATCAAGCTATATTGACAAAGATTTTTGGTTCAAGAATAAACGCAAGTGCAACATTTGCAACCATTTTGGTCACCTTGG